TTGCTTCTTCAAAAGATCTTCTGAACTCTTATCCTCGTGACTGCGGACTTCCGAAATGACAGATTCTACACGATGGCATGCAAAACAAGGAAAAAACCTAATAAAAACCAAGTAAACAATACATAAAAAGTAAACAAACATGTAGATCTCAATTTTAGATTAATTTTGCAAGTTGAATGGTCCAATTTGGAGTTCGTATGAATTAGATATGAATTTTAGAAGATTTGAACCATTTAAATGAATTTCTATAATTATTAATGATTTATTGCGCAATTAATATGGTTTATGCCGTCAGCCGAGGAGGGTGGCGCCGACAAGCGGGCCCCACCTGCCGGTGACTCATGGGAAGTGGGCGCACGGTGGACCAAGTCCACGCATGCACTGTCCGTGGGCGCACCACGTGGCGGTCACGACGGACAAGCGGGCGAGGTGGCAAGGATGTGGCGCCGAGGTGGCACCGACGCGGGACGGCACCAAGACGACCACGTGGACGACCTGGATTCACCCACCCGAGGGTGAATCCAACGGCGCTGGAGTGGGCGGCTGAGGCGCGGGTACGGCTCAAGCCGGCCTGGCCGAGCCATGGCACGGCGGCGGCGTGCGGCCACCGGCTGCAAGCGGCCTGACTGGACGGCCACCGGCGGCGGCAGCGCGGCACGAGGCGGTCGACGAAGGGGAGATAGAGGGAGAGGGAGGGGTGCTCGCGCAATGATGAGAAGACGAAGGGAAAGCGGCGGCGGGCTCCTCGGGGAGGCGCGGCAACGGTGGTCCAGCGGCGTTCCGCGAGTGGGAATTGGCGGACAGCGGCCGGAAGAACCTGGGGAAGGAGACAAGGGGTTTAGGGAGCGAGGAGGAGGCACGACGCCGAGGGAAATGGCGGCCGGAAGCGTCAAGGATCGGCGGAGCTCACGTTGGACGGAGGGAAGCAGTCTCCCGTGATGGTTCACGAGGAGGGAGGGGTAGACGGGCTGCGCACGGTGGCTGCAGTGCCGGGGAAGGTGACAGCGCAGTGCGGGGTCGGCTGGAGAGGCGGTACGGTGCGGCTGGAGTTGGCGACGGTGGCGGAGAGAGATGGTGAATGTGGCTGCGGCGTTTTGGCAATGGATTGGGGAAGAGGAGCAGTGGACGGGGTGCGGCAAGGCATGGCGATGCCGACGGAGGTGGTTGCACGGTGCGGCAGTGGCGCTAGCGGCGGCGAGGTGCGATTGGAGGCGGCGAATATGTCGGCGACGTCGGGTGCACGGTGAAATGGTCGTTCCGGTGGTGGAAGGGAAAAATGGAGTGGTGGCCGGGGGAGTGTTTTTCTAGCTCCGGGAAGTAGAGATCGTGGCCAAAAAAGGGCGGCAACGGCCAGCGGAGTGGGACGGTTTAATGGGCGAAGTGGAGCTCGATCCCGGCGCAATTTTTGGGGAAAAGTGGGGGATTTGGTTGAGGAGGTGGAGGGGAGCCGGTCCACGCACTCGCAAGGCAGGGTGGAGCGCGGGAGAAGCGGCGACGACGTGGGGTGGTGTGGGCGGCAATGGTGGCCAAGGGCGGTTGCTGGCGAGGAGGCTGGAGGAAGGGGGAGGAGCTGACATGTGGGACTCGGGTCCCACATGTTGGCCGGAGAGCGAGGGGATGGGAGGGGGGCAAAATAGACTTCAGGGAAGGGGAGGAGAGGGCCGAGCGGCGAGCTGGGCCGGAAAAGGAGGAGGGAGGAGGACTGCAGCGGGGAGGGGAAGGATTCTTGGGCCGGAAACGGCCCAAAGACAAGGAAGGCGATTAAATTTGTTTTTCATTTTATTTAATTTATTTAATGAACTTTGTGCTATTCAAATTATTTCTCGAGCTCCGAAAGTTCACGGAAAAATCCGGAGAGTATATTAGGGCACAGAGAATATTACAAAATATTTTCGGCAATGATTTTTAAAGGAAATTTTTAATTCCCTCAATAATTCACTTGATTAAATTGATTTAACTTTTATTTAATTTCTATAAAATGTATTATTAATTGATTTTTAATCTCGAACGAAAATCGAGGCGCTACAGTGGTCTAGTGTGTGTGGATCTCAATAGGAGGGCTCGGGTCATCCTACTTTGTAAATATTATTTTTTTTGTTTTTCTTCCCTTTAATTAAATGAAATGCAGCTCTCCTGAGTTTTCGAGAAAAAAAATCATAAAAGTTTGATCGAACCATGTCATTAACATCAAATATTTATGACCACGAGAGTGCTTTCTTAGTATTATTTATTAATAGGAAAGTATATTCATGTCTCCAAATATAGTAACTTCTAGCGTTCAAAACTTATTTTAGAATGGTAGCAACTTCTCTACCTACTCCATCATCTCAACAACCACAACCATCTCACATTTAATTTCTTTACTTAGTTTCTCATCTCAAAATCACATCCATTCCCATTCCATTTTCATTAATAAGCGTGCAAAACTCCATACGAAAATCCTATATTTCGAGATGGAGGGGAGTAGTATTGTTAGGTGATACATAAGGAGGACGTAATGGGTACTAAAAGAAAATAATTTCTTAATTTTCACCAAATGGTAGTCAGATAGGATACAAATAAATTATGTGGGACAATTTTTGAACTCAAGAAATCAACATTTTTTTTAGGAAAAAGTCCAAATACCTCTCTAAACTTTAGATAGAAGTCCGTCTAGCGTCCTATACTTTAAAACCAGACATCTAATCCCCTAACCTTTGCAAAACCGTTCATATTACCCCCTAAGGTGGTTCTGTATAGTGGGTTTGATCTAATTTGTATATAAATTGGATGAGTTTGATCACATAATATACACATTGGACATGTAGGTATGCCATACTATTATTATGCTGGTACTTGTTTGTAAGTGAGTTTTATCTAATTTGTATATAATTTGTATCTTCACTTAAATCTTTCTTTTTACCACTTGTTAGCTCTCACTTACAAACAAGTACTAACATATAGTATGGCATCACTGTATAAGTATAAATTGATGACTTACAATTGGTGATATGCAAAAATGTTATATTAGTTATTTAAAGTTGTTCGTATAAGCTTTTAAAACATGCAAAACCACCTTGGGGATAATATGAATAATTTTACAAAGTTCAAGAGGTTAGATTTCTAGTTTTAAAGTTTAGGATGCTAGATAGACTTTCATCCAAAGTTTAGGGGGGTATTTAGAATTTTTCCTTTTTTTATGAAGGGAATATGTCCAATCTACAATCAATATCCATACTCAATGGATATGACTACATAGAGACCGCACGTTACATTGTCTTAACCAGATACTCATCTCAGATCTAGTTGATTACTAGTACACCAAATGATACATGTCTTTTTTTTCTTCTTATAGTTTTTTTATAAATTACTTATCCGATTTATAATCCGATTACACCATACATTGTACTGTAAATCATGTGCATTAATATCTATTTCAAAATATAAAATATAAAAAGTAACAATAAAATAAGTGAATGGTGTTAAAATTTGATGAGAAACAAACTTATAGAAGTAAAAAGTTGGGTGCATAACTAAGTTGGTATTTCAAGCTTTACCTAAGGCTCAGTTTGGTACTTGACGTTTTAATTCATACGTCTAACTCCTTCAAGTTTTTATTTTAGTCCAAACTTGTCCTAATCAACATCACTCTTGATAAATAACCCTTATACCTCCTCCCTCTTCACATATATAAGAAAAGAATGAAAAAAATATGTTGTGCTATTAAGGCGGTATAAAACTATATGACGTGACCCCTATAGATCTAACTTCGTATGAGATCTATATCCAATAATTATATGATGTTTTTTTTAAAAAATGTGCATATAATGAATTTTCTTACATGATTATGCATATTAATTTATATATAAGAAAAACAACTATGTATACTGTATCCATTAAAGTTAACTATCGTGTGCAAAGGCTGGAATTAATAGGAAGTACATGTACAATGCTATTTATTTTCTCTTTTATAGTGTATGCAAATTAAGCGCAAAAGGGATATATATTTCTAACACAAATGTTGACTAGGATTAGCCATGTGGAATATCAAGTGAGTCGAAGGATGATTTAAAGCTAAAATGAATACTTAGAGGATCAAATGGTACCTTAAGTATCAAATTGAACCTTTAGTAAAAATTTAAGGGACTAAATTGATTATTTACCTAAAAAGTTTTACAAAGTTTCAGATCGGCTGAGCTGGCTACTGCGAAGTACAGCCAAAGCGAGTAGATAACAAAACAATTCTTCCAGTAGAATAATAATTGTTCTAGAAAGCCCATGTAAAACAAGTGCAGGAAACTAATCTAATCTCATAGAATTTGTCCCTTCTTCCTAAGTAACGCTGGCTCCTCCTGACATGGTAACATGTCAATGGTATACTTCGTATGAAGTGTGGACTGTCAATATGCTGCAGCATTTAATTTGGTCGTTTTCTTTTTGCCAAGCAGGGGTCGGAAGATCGGTTGATCGAGCTACGGATTAGGCTATTAGCCAGCTGTAAACATATTCTAATGAGATAAAAGATGAGAGAGAAGAACAACGGACCGTAGATTTGTAGCCAGCTGCAGCACGGACTCTAAGACGCAATGTGTGTATGACAGGTGGGACCATATATTAATAGTATAGTAAGCAACTATTGTATTAACTATTAGATTCGTTATATATGAATTGGAGCTAGTAGTATTAGGCTATACTATTAGAGCAGGTACAATAGCAGGCTATAAGCCAGCTATAAACATATTTTAAAGAGATAAAGGAAGAGAGAGAAAATCAGTTAAAGGAAGAGAGAGAAAATCAGCGGGCTACAGATCTGTAGCCAGCTGCAGCACGGACTCCAAGACATGATGTGTGTATGACAAGTGAGACCAGATATTAATAGTATAGTAAGTAAATATTGTATGAATTAACTATTATATTAATTATAGATTATTCGAAATTAGCATTGGGCTATATTATTAAACTTCGTGTAAACAAACAAGCGATCGGCACCGCACATCCCGAGAGGCCGACACGGAACAAAACAAAACCCACCAAAATTCCCATTCCATTCCCCCCCACCGCACCCACCCACAGCCCGCGCCCGCCTTCTCCCCTATCTATCATTCTATCCCGCCCGCTTCCTTCTCCCCCGCGGCCGGACTGCAACTGTAACCCAATTCCTCCTCCCTCCTCGATCACCATGTAAGTGTAACCATCTGCCAAACCGCCGTCCTCTCCTCTCCTCTCCTCTCCGGCGGCCCGTTTCTCCGAGCTCCTCGCGAATTCCTTTTCTTGTTCTTTTTTTCTTCTTCGGTTTCTTGATTTGGGTTCGCTCGATGTTACCAAGGGAGGGAGTTGGCGGCGGCGGCGGCGGTGAGGAGTGGCTGCGGCCGATGGACGCGGAGCAGCTGCGGGAGTGCGGGCACCGGATGGTGGATTTCGTCGCCGACTACTACAAATCCATCGAGGCCTTCCCCGTCCTCAGCCAAGTCCAGGCAAGCATTTGCAACTCTCTTTCACTTTCAGAGAGATTCCTTCCTGCGGATATTCCTGTACAACCCTGCACCTGCTCCACATTTTAATTTTATCAAGTGACTATCTGTCCTCTGGCTTTGCTCATCGGCAAGTGGTTGCGCACTGTGCTCTGTAGGGTGAGCTGAGCAGTTTTAGGGATGCAAGTGGGGCGGATAAGCGGGATTTTTTTTAGAACTTTTACTGGCAGTATATAGAAGGGCATGCTAGGAATTTGCTAGAAAATAAAATAACACTTTAGTAATTTTTGGTTCAGATTGAATCTAATTGGGAGTACCCGGTCCTAAACCTTATCGTGCACTAGGGGAGAAGTATCCTGAGCGCCATTGTTGACAAAGCACGTGACGATAGCATGGTTTGATGATAGAATAACGAAGAAAAGACAAAATTACCCTTTCAAACTTTATACTGCCATCTAATTAACTAAAAAATCAAATCAATCTACACCGTAAGGTTATATATACTTGCAGTATATTGTACCGTAAAAATCCTTTTTTTTTTTCGCCCGCTTATTCCACTTCTAGTTTTTTTTTCTAAAATTGTATTACCATGTAGAAAATGAGCTAGCAGGCGGGATATTTACGCGGGTAGTGGGATTGTCCAATTGCATCCCTAAGCATTTTTGTCCCTTGTATCAGTTATAAATAGAACAAGAGGGCATCTTTTGATCATTTCTAGTAATGGAAATGGGAGAACAGGAGAAGTTTCCCCTCTGTCTAAAACAAGGTGGGCGAATGCGATCACTCTTTGCAAATGTGTTAAAATGATAATGTGAACCACTTGTGATTGTCTACTAGTCAGAGAGTGAGCAATTCCCCCATGAATTCCTTTCCTCTCTTTTTTTTTTGGCAACATTTCCATTTTTGACAAGTCGTTGCACATTGCTGCTCTGTAGGGTGAGCTGAACATTTTGTCCCTTGTGTCATCTCAATAGAACAAGTGGGCATCTTTTGATCATTTAAGTTTCCCCTCTCTGTCTCGAGAAATAATAATAAATTAAACAAGTGGGCAAACGCGATCAATTGTTGCAAACAGTTTAAAATGATTATGTGAACCACTTGTGATTGTGTACATAGTTAGGGAGAGAACAACTCAATTAATCATACGCTAATAGCTTTCTCGTTTAATCCCCATTTTCTTACTGAAGTTTCACATTGGACCCGTTTTGGCACATAGTTTCACTTTGGACACCCTTTTTCTTTTACCATTTTGTTTCGCTTTGGACACCTTCTCTTCCACATCACGGCAGTTGAGACAAGAGGAGCTTGACTAGGGTGCATGTCACGGTGGCACACTGGGAGTAAGCTTGACGGCAAGAGTAAAAGGAGGTACAAAGTGAAACAAAAAGGTAAGAAAAGGGGGTCCAAGGTGAAAATATGTTCTAAGAGGGTTCAGAGTGAAGCTTCAAAGTGATGTTTTAGAGTTTCCTCATTATAAGGTGTAACTTTGTTAATCCATTTCAATGGAGTCAAACATGTCCTTACACTTTGATTATAAAAGTATAAAATTGCTTCTTCGATGGTGGGAAAAGATTGCTTCTTCGATGCAAGGAGAAAGAAAAAAGAAATTGATAGGGGCTTTGCTGGTAACTTGGTGGCAGGTGTGGCTTGAACGTAATCGCAGGGTCTTTCAACAAAGTTACCTAAGTGCCACCCAAGTAGCTTTTCTGGTTAAAGAAGATATAGACCTCATACAGCTTGTGCTCCAAACCTGACGGTTTTGAGTGCGGTCTTTAGCTGCTTTTATTTTGTCTGTAATCTCTGAAAGTGATTCTGTGTTTTAGGGTGATCTTGATTCTCTCCCTGTACTTTTCTCCCTTCTAATATATCCAGCACATCTCCTGCTGTCATTTGCTTCAAAAAAAAGGTATAAAATTGAAACATATATACTTTCACATTGTTGAAGTATATTATACCCTTTTTAAAGAAAATCTCAATACCCATAGACCATAGCTTACGCAGTGTTCAAAAAAATTACACGTTGGTTTTTGTAATCGCGGAAAAGCATATGCCAAGGAGCTAACTAATATTGTGTTTGTGATAAAAATAGGCAATTGCTTTATTTAGGCTGTTGTTTGGTTTAGGGCAAGTCAAAATTATGGCAAGATGATCCACCTGTCAGTCTCTCGCTGTAATTATGATATCTGTTTTGTTCTGGACAAAATGTATGGGAAATAGAAATCTGCATTCCCCTGATGTGTTTGCCACACCCTTGTATGGAAGTGGAGGAGTACATCATGCCTTTTGTTAGGAAGTTTCAATTATTCCACTGCAAACAGTTCAGGTTGTGAAGTGATAAAATGGTGATAGTATCAGTTATTAAGAATTAAGAGAACTAGCAAAACTAGTGTTATTTTATATGTGGAAGATTTATTCAGTTACTTTTTATAGTGGGAGGTAAAACCATCTGGCCTCTCCATCCATGGATAGATGCACAGTGTCACCATCATTCTTGCAGCCATCAAATATGTTATGTAATATCTTTTCCACTCCACTAAGATTTCAGTTTCAATGGCCGTTGATTTGAGTGACTTCTTTGCAGCCAGGATATCTGAAGGAAGTTCTTCCAGATTCAGCCCCAAGACAACCTGATACTTTGGATTCCCTTTTTGATGGTGATGACCCCTTTCGCTCTATTTTCAAGTAACACAGTAATTTACTCCTTATTCTTTATCTTTGATACTTGATACACTCGTCTGTTAATTGTTATTCTTCAAGTGTATTCCGGCTAAACACAAAGAACACTTCATGCTTTCTGATAAATGCTCTAAACAGATATTCTTTTTTACGTACAGATATTCAACAAAAAATAATACCAGGAGTAACGCACTGGCAAAGTCCAAATTATTTTGCTTACTATCCTTCAAATAGCAGCACTGCTGGATTCCTGGGGGAGATGCTTAGTGCTGCCTTTAACATTGTTGGCTTCAGTTGGATAACCTCTCCTGCTGCTACTGAGCTAGAGGTTATAGTCTTAGACTGGTTTGCAAAAATGCTCCAGCTTCCAAGCCAGTTTCTGTCAACTGGTAAGGCCTGTTGGCTTTTAACTGAGATTCTATGCTTCGTGACTTGGTTCTCTAGCCATACTACAGTATCAGATAATTGACTGACTATTACATTTGGATCTTCCCAATTCTACAGTTTCAACTTCCCAATAGAGGAGATAGGAGTTGCTAAGACTGATAAATTGCTATTGTTTTGAGTTTAACCATATTAAGATGTGCTTCCATCCATTCTTCATTGGAGTAATGTTTCTTATTTCCTTATTCTTCGTCAGTATTGGATGTTTGGTACAGTTGTGCATGTGAATCCTGAACTAGTTGCGCACGCTATTCATCAGCTTTCTCAGTGTGCTACTGTATATCCATGTCAGACAATGTGAAATTTACATTCTATGCAGTGAAACAATAGTTATTCATGTAGTGTGTAAATATATCTCTCATAAGTATAGATGATTGTATACTTTTCCTTGCTCAAGTTGCATTCCCAAGTTTCTCCATCGCTTCTCCCTTTGTAGCTCTTGGTGGAGGAGTAATACAAGGTACTGCCAGTGAAGCTGTTCTTGTTGCACTATTGGCTGCACGAGATAGAGCTTTAAAGAAGCATGGGAAGCATTCCCTTGAAAAGTTAGTAGTTTATGCATCTGACCAGACACATTCTGCTCTACAAAAGGCATGCCAGGTGTGAAAACAGAACATATCTCATTTGGTATCACAACAATGAATAATCAGTTCTATAAAAAGTTCTTGTTTTTCCATAACACATACAGATTGGTATGCCCAAAATAACATGTCTTATCCTCTTCCTCGAACTTCTATTCACAAAATAAGAAATTAAAATTTATGTATAGTAAATATCTTGGGTGTTATATTATTATTTTTTAATTTTTTTTCTGAGCTGGCATGCTTCTGCTTACAGATTGCAGGAATTTTCTCAGAGAATGTTAGGGTTGTAATTGCTGATTGTAATAAGAACTACGCCGTTGCCCCTGAGGCAGTTAGTGAGGCGCTTTCCATAGACCTGTCATCTGGTTTGATACCATTTTTCATCTGTGCAACAGTAAGCAATTTGCCTTGCTTTTTTTCATATGCCAATTTTTTAGACCTTGAGATGCTTCGTATTTATAAGCTAGTTTGGACATGACACCTCAACTTGAATTATTGTATTATTTTTAGTAAATTACTCCCTCGGTCCTACTATATAGTTCATTGGAATGAATGTGTAATTTCACAATGTAATTTTAGAAAATCAAGTTGTTGCTATATTTTTGTTCCCCAGAAAGTGGATAAGTAACTGTAGTATACCATTTAACAGGGGTACATATAGTCCAATGCCATAACACTTTCTTTTATTTGGTACTCGTTCATCTGCCTGTGCCTTGGGTTGGGACATTAAATTGCAAGACAGATGAGGTACATACTGGTAACCCATCTGGTTATATTTTGGACTTCTGGCCAAGTTGCTATATTGGCCAAGTTATTGATTTGTTTGTGTGCTGCAGGTTTAACATGTTTTCCTTTTTTGCTACTGCTATCAAACTTGCCTACTTAATTATTGTTATCCATATTCTGTGAAGAACTAAAGCCAGCAGCTTTGTAGCTTCAAACATAAGTTGAAATTTTGGTCTTTGATTATTCTTACCATGATTTGTGATGTGCCCACTTAGCTTTAACTCTCTTCATTGGCACAAGCACAATTACAGTGTCTCTATATGCGGGTAGGTTTCCTCTGAAAAAAAATTGTAATTTATTGCAGGTAGGTACAACATCATCATCAGCTGTGGACCCCCTGCCTGAACTAGGACAGATAGCAAAGGTATTCGGACCTGATAAATTATGATAAGTAGCAAATGATGAAAGATTAAATATTAAATGTGATTTGATATTAAAATGCATGTTCATCTGTCTATATAAGTTTAGTATTCTCGATTGCTGTTATGTCAACAACAAAAATTGTCAATCTTTATCAACTGGGAATATAATGTGGCCCTTTTACCCTGCTATCTGAAAAACCATTTACTAATACGTATTGTGTGAGGAAATCGCGGTTCCATGGGCATACTATTTTTCATCACACTCTGCAGTTCTATAATAGGGTTTTGAAATCTAGCTAATTCCTTGTTGGTTAATGGTGATTCACAGGAGTCTCAGTTGGGATCAGGATTTAGAAAATCATTCTGTTTCTGTTAGAACTTAGCTATAAATTGTGTACTGATTAAAAATTTCAAGCTATTTTCTAGTTAACATCTCGAGAGATAGCAACACTTGGTTTTGCCGGTTCTCAAGTGGGCAAACCATTATTATCCTGACCTCCCCTTTCTGAGGTCTTTTCTAGATCCAATTTCTGAAAACTACATCCCTAATGTCAATAGTGCCTTATTTCAGAATAAGAATTGTGCGATTCTATTTCTTCTGTAAATGTCTTGGTTATATGTATGTTGACTAAATGTCGTTGCATGTTTTAACCATTTTTTCCCATTAGTCCAATGACATGTGGTTCCATATTGATGCCGCATATGCTGGAAGTGCTTGTATATGCCCAGAGTACCGACACCACCTCAATGGAGTGGAAGAAGCTGATTCGTTTAATATGAATGCCCACAAATGGTTCCTCACTAACTTCGATTGTTCCTTGCTATGGGTTAAGGTAAGCTAACCATCAATTCAGTTTGCATAACATGTTTTCTTAATCTTAAATTCTTAGAGATTCTATTTTCTTTTATTTGCTCCCAAGCATATCAGTATCTTACTATGGTATAATTTCATTGTTTCTTATGATAAATTGATATAACGCTAACAGGACAGGAGTTTTCTCATACAATCATTGTCTACGAATCCAGAGTTTCTCAAAAACAAGGTTAACGTTCTTTCCCTTTCTAAGTTTGGCGGATAGTGAATACTGGATTTGTTATACTTTTTAAGAGATGGTATTGGCTGGATAGTGTATGATAAAATAATAATTTGTTTTTGGTAAAATCAAATATACAACTCACACTGCATAACTTAATGTTTCTTGATATATAATTAAGACAATTAAGGGATTGAATTTAACATAAGTTGAAACAATGCCTTTAATTCAATTTAACAACAAAAAATTCAATGAAGAAGCCCATTATTTTGCTAGAGACTTTAGTCAGAGTCATGTTATTTCTGATGAAAAATTATGTTTTGTGTGGCACCAATGTGGAACAACTATCTTACTTTTTAGGCTTCCCAAGCTAATTCAGTTGTTGATTTCAAAGATTGGCAAATTCCACTTGGACGACGCTTTAGGTAACATTTTGGCAAATTCCGCTCGATTTGTTACTATTTATCTCTGATAAACTTACCATTTTATATCCATTTGATATTTTTTTAATACAAATAGTGTAACTAAGGCTATGGATAGTTTGAAGTTTCAAGATATTTATTGAAAGAGCATAATGTGACAATTTACATATATGTATTATCATAGTTTTGACCAGGATTCAAAAAGCCAGTTGTGGTTAGTTTCTATTTCCTCACAGATAAATCCTAATTATCAGACTTTGACCATGTATTTCTACAGCTTTATTGATATGAATTAATAAAATTGTAATAAATTCCAATTAATTTTAATGGAAAACATTGCATTGTAGTTTCCATATGGTTAGTCTATGTTGTTTTGACTTTATTATATTAATAGTAAAAAGTGTATCCTTATAAAAGGAACATAGACTCTTTTTGTTTCATCTGATTGAACAGATACATTTTGGAGTTATCATATTAAAAAAGACATGCATTATAATATTTATGGATTATCCTAGGCAAATCAAATTTGTACTAAGTGCATCAGTAATGTTATTACAAAGCCTTTGTGAAATAAAATTTGTCCTTACCAACACCTCATAACAGGGCAAAAAGATGTAAGTGCATACCCTAAAATGCCATATCATGGATTCACTGAAATGGGCATTAGTATATTGAATCCACTATTGATACTTACATTATTTTTTTCTAAACCAAACATGCAAGCATAGACCTTGCCCCATTTGGCCATTTGACACGGTATTATGTTCCTGTAAGCTATACAAGCTAAAACCTAAAAGTTCTGAAGGATATCTCTTAGGTACACCTGATTAACTTTAGATTTTCATAATTATGATAACAGTAATTATATGTTTGTGATTTTTTTTTTCTCATGGTTGCTTGATTGAATTAATACATTCCTTTTCAATTTGCTTAAAGTTATACTAAATTATTGAAGCTGTGCACCGTTAGTAATTCGGATGTGAGATATGTCCTAACTGCATTTTTTTATTCATTATGGCTCATTGCAAGTTGTTGACATAGATATTAGTTTACACATCATGCATTACTATGCACTGCATGCTGTTTCAGATCACTTAAGCTATGGATGGTCTTGAGACTTTATGGTGTGGACAACCTACAAAGCTATATCCGGAAACACATACATTTGGCTGAACATTTTGAGCAACTTTTATTATCTGATTCAAGATTTGAGGTAAAAGAACAGGGAAACAACTCTGTCCTAGAGACTATTATACTCTTTGTCAATTATAATTTGAAAACACAGTGTATTTTCGTTTCTAAGTCATTTTGAGATATTTCCAGGTAGTGACTCCAAGGACTTTTTCACTTGTTTGTTTCCGACTTGTGCCTCCCACTTCTGACCATGAAAATGGACGTAAATTGAATTACGATATGATGGATGGTGTAAATTCAAGTGGAAAGATCTTCCTATCTCACACGGTTGGTGGCATGCAAATCCTTCAGTTACCGTGAGATCTACTCACATGAACATTATATCAGCTGCAAAGTTTTATTTATTTTGTTTACTTCATCCACAGGTTCTTTCAGGTAAGTTCGTCTTGAGATTTGCAGTAGGAGCGCCACTTACAGAGGAGCGACACGTGGATGCCGCTTGGAAGCTTCTACGAGATGAGGCCACCAAGGTCTTGGGGAAAATGGTGTAGATAAGTGAATACCGCTCACTGATTCAGCTCATTGTTTGCCCTTCGAGTATTGAAGGTGCCAAAGTTCATACAAAAAGTTTCTGTTAAGGACAATACACGATAGCATAATTTATTCAGTTGTGAAACAGAAATACTGAATACTTTCTATGATTCTTTTAGTGGGTTAGGTCGTTTGATCGACCTGCAATTTTTTTCGAGTTGATATTAAACTCCCTGCATTATGGATGGTAGTGTGAGGTGGCATGCAGTATAACATTTAACATACAAATTTTACCAAGATTACGCAGCTCCCCATGAGAAAAAATGCTTCAGGTTTGTAAGCCGCTTGAGTTAGTTTGGTTTGAAAATCCGGAGTCAAAACAGTTGAGTCGATTTTCTGTTTGGATTTGATAGGCGGGTTGCACAATATATGCTAACTAGGTGATTTCCCGTGCTTTGCTGTGGGAATTATGAAGCAATTTTCATTGTGTTTTTTTTTTCAAAAAACAAGCTAGGAGTAAAAAAGGATACTAGTTATTAATAATAAATTAAACTAGTTTGTGAAACCATGTTTGGAGAAAAATAAATTCAGTAGACAATGCATATGAAATATTAGATTGTTGGCCAAAATTTGCATTGCAAGAAGCAGAGTATAGGGAAAAAAAAGTAATGGAACGTCAAGGTTTGTTAGTACTAATCATGAAAAGAAATAAATGATACTCATGCTTTGATGTGGAATATATTTACTAGGTATATGTTTAAGTATTATAAAAATGATGAATAGATATGTTAAAATATTTTAGAAATGATGTGAGGTGTGATGATAGGGAGAAATTTAACAATATGCCACTCCATAGAGGTGCCTTCAATAGGATGTCCTTACAAAAAATGCCACTTCATAGAGGATACTTTTTAATAAAATGTCACTTTGGGTGATTAGAGAATCTGTGTGACACATGGTGCTCGCAAAAAATATCCACGTCTCTCGGCCTTGACTCGCCCGCGTCCCCGCCACTCCACCCTCCCCTCTTTGTCATCTCTTTGGGTGCCGCCACTGTCGTCGTCGCGCTCGCCGATCACCCCTGCACCTACCTCGGCACCGGGCTGTGTGGAGCTGGCGAGGGAGATGTGGCCCGCCACCGCGTTCCTCCGCCTGCTTGTCCTCCTGGTTGCAGGAGGCCCCGAGCCGGTCTGGTCCTCACATGCGGTGACCGCGGCCTGCCTGCCCGACTCGTTGCAGCCGTGTCGGCACGGGCACCGACGTCGAGTGCTACGTCGACAGCTGCGCGGATGGGCGACGGGAGCTGACGCTGGTGGGCGCGCGGATGGGCGATGGCGGCAGACTCCAGCGGGCAAGTGGAAGGACGATGAAAGCGGCGGCCGAGCGGGGGAGCAGTGGCGACGACTGCGCAGACGGGCGACAGGAGCTGACGCCAGCGGGTGCACGGACGGGCGAAGAAAGCGGCAGCCGAGCGGGGAAGCAGCGGCGACGACCGCGCGGCCGAGAGAAGTCGCCAGAAATCTTGCTGAATTGCTACCAGAGCAAGGAGCACATCAGCCTTGATAATCCCACAATAAGTTTCCCAAAAACACCCGGTAAAACCATCTGGCCTAGGGCTTTATCTAATGGTAACTCCTTAATTGTTGCACATACTTCTTTGTAAGTAAGACCCAAAGAAGCAAAGTCAAAATGCAAATCATGAAACCTTAGAAGATCCAAACTAAACAACTTATGGGTTTAAGCCTACGAAGCACTTATAGTACTCAACAACCACCTCTTGTTTCTCAGCTTGACTAGTAACAACATGAACCTGAACACCCCCCCTACCCCACCCCATCCCACCACCAGCGCTACGGACGGCTAGGGGCATGTCGGCAAGGCGGCCGATGAGATGAGGATGGTGGCCAATAGCTAGGGATGGGGGCTAGGGGTGGTGGCAGTGGGGTGGTTGGGGACTAGGTGAGGGAAGGAGTGGATCGGGATTGGGGTAGGTTTTATATATGGGTCAATTGGGTCTATATTTTTGGAATAGGCTGATTTAGAGAAGTAACTCACACCTAGCGGCCCCACCGGGTCACCCGCAGGTAATCTACGATCCCCGTTCCCGTCTTCGCAAATTTGCTGGGCCTCACCCCAGCTCACCTGCAGGTGAGAATTTCCCCTTGTCCCCGGCCCCCTCGTCCCAAGACCCAACAGAGAAATTGCCACCCCTAATTCCAGAGCTCTTGAAGGAAGAGAACCACCAATTGCGACGTTCTTATTAGATAAATTGCACTGAGACTGAGAAAGTGTCCAAGAGCTCTTCCTTGCCACAAGCACACCTCCCTGGTTCTAACCATTGGGAGGGCTACAAGATTATTATAGCTATAGAGCCAAAATCTGAGAGAAACAAATGCCTTGTCAAATTTGTGACTTTAGTTTCTTGGAAACAAGCAAAACATATATGAAAAGAGAGACTGAAATCATCACGAACTGAATTGTGTCGGTTCTAACCATTGGCAGGTTATGAAAAGGCTAATGAGGGCAATTATTTGGTTTTGTGGGAATGCGTATACCGACCCCTTATGTACAGTGGTTTGGGAATTCATAATTTGGGGTACTAGTAGGGTGCCCGTGCGTTGCTACGGGGAATTTTGTTGATCACGGAAAAAAAATCTGGCAATCCAAAAGAAACTACAAGTCATAATTGTTCTGTAGATTAATTTAAAAACAAGATATATGTTATCATTACATAAGCGTAGTGCAACCTTTTTCGGCGCATAAAACAATCTCATGGCGTTTGTTAAATTATAAAAAAGCAACATAGATAGAAGACATCTATGAAAATTTGATGATGTCATACAAATAAAGCACAAACAAAAATCTAGAACATCAAGCATTTCTAGATATGGTATTTCTAATGGATGATCACCTCAAATTAAATTACTCCATATAGATAAATAACTACCCTAATGTTGTGCATTTTTGATACACTTTAGAAAATCTCGTGCGCCGGTAGGGATGTTGCTTTCACACTCATTTTGTTGGTACATCAGTAGATTTAGCAAAAAAAAATTCCTTAGCTCGTCACCATCCTGCACATGTAGTTAAATATTTGTAATTATATAATATAATATATGAATGATCAATGCCTGTCAGGACTTACATTAATAGCCGGCAAATGTAGTTCTTCATTTTTCCATGTACACACGAAGAGATGAACAAGAAAACCCGATAAACTCCCAAGGAAGTTGAATAGTTAGCTACCCTTGCACTACACAATTAAATTTATTGGTTTGAACGAGTTTTTAGAAGATAACTTACCTGTCGAGAACCGGATTATTGATAAATATTTGCCTCCACAAGTTGATGTCTTCATTCCACCTAGAGCCAGGGCATGCCTTCCACATAGCTTTGTTGAAGTGATCACAAATAGTTATCCTGACGTATCTCATGTTTGGGTTATTTTTATATTTTGGAATAAGTAGATTAGAGTCTAATATATATAGTGTTTGACTTTCTTAGTCCACTATGACCATGATAAAGCTTCAAGCATGGCGTACTAGTATAAGAATATACAAAAGATCAACTATCAAGATAATATGTAAAACACGGGCATATAGGATCAAATGTTAGCGATCTTACCGATTTGCATTGTGAAAGTTTGTAATGAATTTTCGACCAGCTACTGATGGTCTTTGCAAGATCTACGTTGTCATGGTGGACCGGGTCTTTACCAAAGCCAGTAGCATTCTACATGATTAAAATAATGGTTCAATAACATAAGCAATAGAGAAATCAATATGTTTGATATTGCGAGTCTAGGTAACAACACGAGCAATAGAGAATAACATGAGCATTAGATTTTAAAAACATACCCAAAATTGCAAGTCCAGACAATGATTCGATATTGCTTCTTTAGTTTTGTGAATCGTCTGGATTTTTTCATACATGAACTTACATATAGCCATGTTGAAGCATTCACTTTCCAATGGCTCATCCTTCTTCAGTACTGATTGAAGATGTTTGAGACTCAAGCTAATAAAATGCGGACTTGAACTTTGTACCCATACTTTCCTGTCAATCAATAAGAAAATTAATTAATGCATGTTTGAACTACGTGTGTATACAATGTATTGCAGTGGCTTACTCCATGGCTTCAGCGCAATTAATCTATTGGATGTAGTGCAAAAGGCCGCTTATCAACTCTTGTTTACTCATCGTAGCTACCACAAAGAGTAGTGAACTATATTTTTTATTTACTTCTTTAGTTTCATAGATGTCCCTTTTAGAGTTGAATTTCCGTTGATGACTACCCAATATCACAACATCGTCGTCACTGTCTTTGGTATCTTTGCTTTGTTCCCCGGTAGTGATGACCGCTTTATTTGTTTTCTAACATAATAATGCACCGGCTAGTTTGAACCTAAAAAGTGTAATATCCTCCTGCGCATTAAAAAGTAAATTTGTTTAATTAAAAATAGATAAGATATATGATCAACTATTTTTTATTAAGAAATACACCTGTGTAATAGAACGAGAAAGTGATTCTCCTGTCCAATTCTCCATAATTTTGAGCATGAACAGTCCACATGAAGATCTGCATTGTTTTAAAGTATGACTACAACTAGTAAAAACAAAACAACAGTACACCAATTGAAATATATCATTCATCTTATATTAATATTCCATGAAAAATTAATTTGTAGTATACCTATCTCCTTGAATTCTTTCTTGTAGTTATTCTATGATTGGCCACTTCATAACATTGAGGTCACCCCATTTGTGGCTAGGCAAGTCCTGTTGCCGTCCAATAATATTAAGATGATATTGTAGTCCTTGTAGCTGCTCAATTATCATATTTGCGGTCAACAATATACGTAAATGAAATACAATCTAAAAAAAATAGAGTAAACATGTCATATACACTAACCGTATTTGCGAGATCAACACGATTGAAGGCCAAACACAGAGAATCAAGTACCTATATATGTTGTTTTTTTTGTTGACAACCGCTAAATACCAATGTTCATCTTTGATACTTATTGGAAGAAAAAAAATCTAACCAACACATCGAGTTAGGAATTATATATATATATATATATATATATATATATACACACACACACACTACATAACACCCTAACGTGCTATGTACCTTCGTAGCACACCTCACAGCCCCAGCCCACCTCCTCCTTCTACTTGCATGTCAGTAATTTTTTTACCCGGTGAATGCCGCACCCTCCCACAACCAACCGTGTCAAGGTAGTAATTTCTTTACTTGAGAAAACTATGAGTATTTGTTATTATACCGTAGGCTACCATATTCAACCATTCCTCCCATACTCCATCACTCCGTTTTTTTCGGATCTACAACAAACTCAATCAAAATTCCAGCGATGGCGAATTGGCGAATTGGCGATTGGCTTCGGGAGAAAGCGATGTAGGTCTCCATCGTAGGCAATTTTAGGGTTCGGGCTTGGTGACAGTGTCCATGGCAGCGGGCGATCGAAAGAGAGGATGGGGGCCGCACGAATTCGTTGCATGCGCGCCGGATCTGGCAGCGGTGAGTACCTTGGTAGCTCGATCCAGGTTCCTCCATCGTCAATCCAAGCTTTTGATACCTGCTACCTGTCCAGGGGCATGAATTAGGGCGTTACCTGGGGAGGAAGTGGGCGGCAGCTGAGGTCGCCGTGCTTCGTCGACCTTGGCACGGCATCGGTCTTTGGCATCCTCAGGAAAAAAAACAGGTTTGCATATTGATGGTCCACCCTTAATTTGCTACATAATTGCCTTACATTTGTTCGTTGGTCTTGCTGTATATTGCCGGCATCCAAAGTCAGCCAAGGGCTTCCTCAAGCTGAGCCCAACCCCAAAGGTTTGTGTTGTTTCTCTGAACAGGGCAAGCTACTGTTGATCTGCAATCAGTGTGGGCCATGACACCGTTCAGCAAGATGGACACCAACCTAAGGTGCCAGAGCTATCCTGCCGCTCGCCGCAATGGTATCTCTCATTTCCACAGGTTCCTCATATTGTTCACCATGTAGCTCTGGAGAAATCTCTTATATCTGCTGATCATGTTTTTTCTCTAGACACATCTTGATTGGTATAAGTATTCATGTTAATCCTAAGTAACTTGACCATAGAAGAAATAATCTGCAGCTGTGGTTGGTATTCACACTCCACTATGATTGATGGTTTGGGTGTTGCTGGTTTGGGAGTTGGTGACATTGAAGCAACCACTGACTGCACAAACACATCAAATATACGTATAAGTTTTATGAGTCTATTAGTATGTTCTTTAGATTTTTTTTTAACTACAGTCTTGTATCTGACATTCTGAATTGCTGACGAATACGTGTATGAAATTTCAGGGTTTTTGCTGTACCAAAGGAATACTCCCTCCGTCAAAAAAAAAAAGACATCCTGGATTTCCGTGTCCAATATTTGACTGCCCATCTTATATGAATTTTTTTATAATTAGTATTTTCATTATTGTTAGATGATAAAACATGATTAATACTTTATGTGTGACTTTTTTTTTAATTTTTTTCATAATTTTTTCAAATAAGACGAATGATCATTGGACACGGAAAACCAGGGTTTGTCTTTTTTTTCGAATGATCAAACATTGGATACGGAAATCCAGGGTTTGTCTTTTTTTTGGGACGGAGGGAGTAAGATGAAGTTTCTGAAATTTGATATCCACTGACACCCTGCTGAAATCAAACATGGCACTATCATTATAGCAGCAACTGCTGACTGCCCACTCAAACACATCAAATCCTCAAATCTCAGCTGCGATGCTAGCTCACGGAGCTTGAGACCGTGTGTTCTGCACGCAGAGTATTTGAGCATCTTGTAATTTTGGTGCAGTACTGCAGTGGCATGGAAACAATGTGCTGGCGTCCCTTCGTCATGGCTCTGCCCAGCCAACCCGACGAAGTGGGCATATGCTTAGTGAGAGCGACATAGACTCAACGCAATAGATTAATTTTACATATGCGGAGTACGTATATAGGCATACCCTTTCCTTATCCACTCAACCGACTTATAGAAACATAATCGGGAGATATATCGGTTGGATAGCACTGGATACAGATATACACAACTAACACCCCCCGCAGTCTGAACGTCGTTTAACGAACATTAAGACTAGACCGAAACTCCACAAAATGTGAACTAGGTAAACCCTTGGTGAAGATATCCGCGTACTGTGAGGTCGTTGGGACATGGAGCACTCGAACAGAACCGGCGGCGACTCGATCACGAATAAAGTGTAGATCGATCTCCACATGTTTGGTCCGTTAATGCTGAACCGGATTAGTGGAGAGATAGACAGCGCTGACGTTGTCGCAGTGTACCAAAGTAGCCTTGGAGGGTGGTGTATGTAACTCATGTAGCAATTGGCGCAGCCAATAAGTTTCTGCAACAGCATTAGCCACAGCCCTGTACTCCGCTTTGGCACTAGAACGAGACAAAGTGTGCTGACGCTTGGAAGACCAGGAGACCAGGTTGTCACCAAGAAACACAGCGTATCCCGAGGTGGACTTGCGTGTGTTAGGGCAGCCGGCCCAATCAGCATCAGAATAAGCCACTAGGTCGGTCGAAGGAGAGCGCCGAATGTGTAGTCCAAGGTCAAGCGTTCCTCGGACGTACCGAAGGATACGCTTGAGAGCAGCGAGATGCGAATCTCTGGGATCATGCATGTGGAGACAGACCTGCTGAACAGCATAAGAAATATCTGGCCGAGTGAATGTCAAGTACTGAAGTGCACCAGCCAGGCTGCGATAGTCAGTTGGGTCTTAAACCGGTGAGCCATATGTGGAGGAGAGCTTGGCATTGGTGTCAACAGGAGTGGAGCATGGCTTGCAATCAGACATGCCAGCATGCTCGAGAATCTCAATGTTGTACTGACGCTGACTCAGTAGAAGACCAGAGCTGTCACTGGTGACTGTGATGCCCAAAAAGTGGTGCAGTGTACCAAGATCCTTCATGGAAAATTTAGACTGTAAAGCATGTATAGCCCAACGGAGAAGACCAGCTGAAGAAGCAGTCAAAACAATGTGGTCCACATATAGGAGCAAGTAAACCAAATCTGAACCTCGGTGATAGATAAACAATGAAGTATCAGACTTAGCCTCGGTGAAACCCAGAGTGAGCAAATAGCTAGCAAAGCGGCTGTACCAAGCGCGGGGAGCCTGCTTGAGACCGTAGAGAGACTTGTTGAGACGACACACCATGTCAGGCCTGGTGGTGTCTTCAAAACCAGATGGCTAAGTGTAGTAAACGGTCTCCTGGAGTGTACCATGCAGGAAAGCATTCTTGACATCCAACTGATGAACAAGCCATTGCCGAGTGACAGCAAGACTGAGAACGGTGCGGACAGTAGCTGGCTTGACAACCGGACTGAAGGTCTCATCAAAATCGATCTTGGGTCGCTGAGTAAAACCACGGAGGACCCAGCGTGCCTTGTACCTATCCAAGCTGCCGTCAGACTGGAACTTGTGCCGAAAGATCCATTTACCGATGACCACATTGCAACCTGAGGGACGAGGAACCAGGTCCCAGGTGTGATTTGCTTGCAACGCGGCAAACTCCTCTTCCATCGCAGAACACCAGTGCGGATCGGCCAGGGCGGCACGATAAGTGCGGGGCACCGGAGAGAGGGTGGCGACGTTGAGGTTGTAGCGCATGACCGGTAGTTGTATGCCATCCTTGCCGCGAGTCGTCATGCCATGCGTGTTGATGACGAGGGAGACACCCAGTTGGCTCGGTATGACGGCGCCCGGGACCCATGCACTCCGAGCACGGGTGGGGGCACCGATGGGAGGCGCCAGCGAGTGGTGCGTCCTGGAAGGCGGCACAGCCAGCGATGGGCCTGGGGACGACCGAGCCGGTGAGGAGCCAGGAGGCGACCCGGTGGCCGAGTCGTGGCTTGGGGAAGACCGGGCCGGCTATGTGGCTGATAGCCGAGCCGACGGAAGGTGCGGGCGAGGCCGGCTCTGTGAGAGCCGTGCGCGGGGATCGCCCAGGAGAAGCCACGCCAGCAGTGGTAGCCGAGGGGGACGCCGTTGGGGCCGTGCGAGCCGCTGGGTCAGTGGGACCAGAGCGGGAGCGACCAATTGGAGCCGGTGTCGGTGCTGAAAAATCCTCAAGAAAATCCAAGTAGCCATCAACTGGATCATTAGTTAATTCAGCAAAAGGAAACGAGTGCTCATCAAACACCACATGACGTGAAATAATGACCTTGTTGGTAGCAAGATCAAGACCCCGATACCTTTTATGGTGGAGGGGATAGCCTAGGAATACACAGAGAGAGGAGCGTGGGGCTAGCTTGTGCGGAGAGGTTGCGGAAAGGTTAGGGTAGCACTTACAGCCAAACACTCGAAGGTGGGTATAGCTAGGATGGGCACCAAAGAGGGCAAAGAAAGGTGTGTGATGTTGAAGGGTTTTGGTGGGATGCCGGTTTATGAGGTGAGTGGCGGTGTGGAGGGCCTCAACCCAATAGGAAGCGGGAAGGCTGGCTGGGAAAAGCAGGGAGGGCACTATGTTGTTAATGGAACAAAACATACGCGCGGCCTTGCCGTTCTGAGGGGAGGAATGGGGGCACGACATTCGCATGTGTACACCGTTGGTGAGGAAGAAGGTGCGGGCAGTGAGGTTGTCAAACTCATAGCCATTATCACACTGTATGTTGCGAATGGTGGTGGAAAACTAGGTCTTCACGAAGGCAAAAAAGTGAGAGATAGTCAAAAGTTTCTGATTTAAGACGTAATGGAAAGGTCCACGCATAATGAGAGTAATCATCGAGTATAACAAGATAATACTTAAAACCAGAAACACTAGGAACAGGAGATGTCCACAAATCATAATGAACTAACTCAAACTTTGCCGAAGCTCTAGTAAAGGAACTAGTAAAAGGAAGACGCACATGCCGACCAAGCTGGCAAGCATGACAGACTGGGGAAGCACCCCTGGGTGGTGGTATGACTGAAGCCTGGGACAAGCAGGTGAGAGCGTCATGACCAATGTGCCCTAGACGACGATGCCAAAGGTCCGTGGTGGACTCCGTAGCAGTGAAGGTGCGGGCGGAGGCCGCCGAGGAAAAAGCATTTGCTGGGAAGGGATACAGGTCTCCGGAGCTATTGCACCTGATGATCTCGTTCCTGGTTGGATAATCCTTCATAGAGAGACCAAACGGGTCAAGTTCAACATAGCACCAGTTATCACGAACAAAACGGCGAGCAGATATAAGGTTCTTAATGATGTCAGGAGAAACTAAGACATTGTTAAGAAGAAAGGAGTGGTGTGGATAATTAATGCGAGCGCTACCGGTGGCAGTAATAGGAAGCAAGGAGCCGTTTCCAACAACAATATAAGAGGGAGAGGTTGTGGGTGCAAGGGTAAGGGTACCGGTGTGAGGAGTCATGTGGGAAGAGGCACCTGAATCCATGTACCATTCGTCGTTGCCGGTGTTGCTGGTGTTGCCGCTGGCGGGTTGAACGGAGCCGGAGTTGCTGACGACGAACGCGGTGGCCGGTTCCGCCGACTTGCTGCCCTTAGTGATCTCCTCGAGTAGAAGCTGAGAGCGAGCATCCAGGAAGGAGGGGAACAACTTCTGCATGGATAGAAGAGATTGCACATGTCCAAATTTAGGGCTCAAACCGGTGAGGAGTTGTAGCACGAGACTGCGGTCGTGGACGGGCTCGCCGAGCATGTCGGCCATCAACTTGAGGCGCTGGCAATAGTCGGAGATGGAGAGATCGCCTTGCGCGAAGGTGCGGAACTCGGCATTGAGATTGATGGCGTGTCGTTCCTGGTTCCCGAGGAACTGATGCGCGAGATCGCGCCAAACAGAGTATGCCGTCGCGGTGGCCGACATGACTTCTTGGAGAAGGTCAGCGGGGATCATCCGTAGGGCCAGCCGAGGACGACGCAGTCCATCTGCATCCAGTCTGGTTGGTCGGGTGGCGGTGTGTCGAGGACGATGTGATCCGTTAGCGCGTACTTGCCGAGGACGACGAGGAAGAGGCCGCGCCAGCGAGTGTAATTGCCGGCGGCAAGGTCAAGGGTGATGGGCACCAATGCCTTGACATTGAGGACGGAGACTGCTTGGCCATGAAGGGTGGAGACAGTCTCGTCGTCGAGGGCTGGTGGCTGCGGTGGTGGCGGCGCGCCGTGGAGTGCCGAAGACAGCGCGCCGGAAGGAGTCGGAGCACCGCGCACGGCAAGCTGCACGAGGAGAGACGTGAGCTTGGGAAGCAGAGAGACCGCCGTCGGTGCTACGGCAGTCGAGGGCGCCAGTGACACTTGTCCAGCGGAAGAAGTTGCCGGTAGGAGAGGTGCGGCAGAGGAGTTGGTGTCG